ATTGTACCTAATATGCATTTCAAATTATATTTAAATCTCTTCCTGAATGAAATGTGGCCTAGGTTAGATTGGTTTGCTGTGTTTTGTGCAAATCGATGTGTGTGCGCATGCACCCACATACATGCACGCACGCACCGATGGTTTAGCAACTTGTCAACATTCCATAATGTGTAAAGAACTGGTACACCATTATTTGTCAATACCTGCACATTTGATTTTTTTAGTGTTTAAAGGCCGTTATAAAAAGATCCAATAATTCTCTGCCCTGCAAAAAGAAAGTCCATATGCATATAAATTATATTGGAAGCATTGATAATGTTTTAATACCAAAATTAGTTTGGCATAGTGGATGGTATCCAACTGTCCAGCCAGATGATATTGTGCTATCAGAAACTAGGTTCTTAACTATGTTCACAATGGGAATCCAACTATAGTTACATTTGTGCATGGTTGCACAACCAATTTTGCAGCTGGGCTCATCAGTGGACAAGCACTTCTGAAATGGAAAGTCTTGGCAGAGCTCCACTAGGGATATCTGAGTTTGCAGAAAGTCACTGCTTAGATGCTGCCCAGAGAATCCGAAGGTAAATGATTTTGTCCTTTCCCTTTAAAATCAAAGCTGCCTTTGATTGGAGTATGCCTAGTATTGTGATTATTTTCATGTACATAGTTACCTTACCACATAGCTATTATTACCACAGTTTTATGAATTGAATCCACTGAAGCAAGATTTCTTGCTTAATGTGTGTCATGCATATGGGTTTCCTAGGTACGAAACCTACTGTGCATTGTAAATTCCTTTCCAGACTGAATTCCTTTTCAGCGTCTTCACTAAAGGTACCAGGATCTTCCTCTGTGCAGCCGTTGTCATTTTATTTTGCAAATTGAGGAATATTTGCCTAATTCTTTGTTTTGCGCTGTCCAAGGTCCTGATCAAAGTCAACATATTTTCCAAAGTGGAACAAAGAGAAAGTTCCTTTTAAAAAGTTTGTAAAAGTTACTCTTTGTATGCCATCCATTCACACAAAAGATTAATAAATTACTCTGTAGCTTGAAGTATATATTCCAAAATAAAATACAGATTAAACAAGTGATTCTTAATATCACTAGTTTATATTAGGCAAATTCTAGTGAGGAAGGATGTTGGGATTGAACACACATTAGAAATGCTAGCACTGAGGTTCTAAATTGTAGAACCACTTCAAAATCCAACAGGACAAAAGTATTTCCCAGATACCTGAAAATGCACTTTTCCTTGTCGTTCTAATGTGACAACAAAGCAAAAAGAAAAAAAAACCCAAAAAATATAATTAAAAGATCTTTAATTCAGTTTAAATTATATTATGAAAAGTACCAGCTAAACAATGCCACGATATTAAGATTTATATTTGAAGATTTTAGTCCAAAGTGTGTGTCCAGTCTCACAAAACAATGAGTCCCCTGTCTTTTAACTAAAATAAAATGAGATGGTGTTAATGGGAAAAAAGCATTTCTAAACTTGTAAATAACTTTTGTTGTTTATCCAGTCCTGGATTATAAGGATCAATTCATGCAATATGGAAGTACGAGGCTGTCGGAGACTATCGTAATTAACATTTTCACACATGAGGTTTACAGCAGTTTTGTCAATGTTTAACTAGTTTCCAATGCACGGCAAAATCCACACTATTAACATCTGTCTTCTGATTTCTGCTCAGCATTAACAATTATCACTCAAAATGAATGAAGCTTCATATGTTCATGTCCCACAGTTAACGTGTAACTGCAAACCTATTTTTTTTAATCAGTTAACCATTATGGGCAATGAATGGTGTAGTGGGCACTCACTCCTGATGGCCACACCCCAAGGGAGGGTCCAAAAAAGCTAACAGTTGTGTTGATCCATAAGAAAAATCAGTTCTAGCAATGCTCCTTTTTATCAAAACGGGGCTTTTATTAAGCAAATGGGTCTTTGTTACCCAGTCAAGTCTAAGCCATTCCAAAAAGAATTTATATTACAACAGGAACAACATTTTGTTGCTGGGGAAATTAATTCTAGCAGTTACTATGAGAACTGTAGATAATCTCACAAGGAACAGGAGAGCTTGAGGCTGACCCGTACTAATCAAAAAGGTCCACCATTGCATTCCTGTGAGCCCCGGCTTGATTAGACCACTGTGAGCAATTGATTTCACTAGGATTATATATGGGTGTATCAGCAGAAGCATCTTGAGGTTTGAAATCCTTACAAGCCATGTAGCTTTAATGCTGATCCCACACTGATAGTGGGTGGTCTGCATGGCAGGCTGAGAATTCTTAAAATTGGTTGAGAAGTCCAAATGATGATATTGCTTCTTGCATCCTTGCTTGTGGATTAAGGTGCTAAAATAGGGGCATACTTTGGGCATGCTTAATGATAAAGTGATGCCAGCTTTCCTCCCTATAAGAACCACCAGCTGTAATAAACATATGCAGTTTGACTGGAGTGTGTACTAATCATCATTACATGCTTGAACACTTGTCAGACAAATGAATTAATCACCGAATTTGGGATTCTCATTCCCATCCCACCACTTCCTTCCATCATGCAAAAAAGCCAAATGCAAATGCTAGAAAAGCCGAAAATGAAAGCCAAACTTCACCATTACAAAATATAGTGGTGAAATTAATTGTTATTGCATTTAGCTTTCGCAAGAAAGAAAAAACAACTCATCTAGTGGCTCCTAAATGTACAAATTTGACCTGGAAGTGCAAGTAAGTCCAATAGCCTCTGCATGTCCATAAAGGCAATCAATTCCATCTTATTTTTTAAACTTAATTTTATTTTGTCTGTCCCCAGAACACAGTGGTTTCCGTTCTCTGTGCATGTTGCATCTTAAATTGTAAGAGTGTATGTTTTACTTTGTTGGAATTCATTCACACTTTCCAGATTTTTTTTAACACTGCCTCTTTTTCTTCAATTCCCATCGAACCTGTTTTCTTCTCAATTATGACACTGTCTGGAAAGCCTGCCTGTGCACTCTCTCCCTCCCTCCTCCCTCCTTCCCTGCCTTCCCTGTTCCAAATAGAAAAAGACATGCCTGGAGAGACTCCGAGCCAAGAATGCTTTGCGGTCATTAAGGTGTATTCAAGAAGCCACAGAAAGCAGTTCTGATCTGGAGCAGCAAGCGGCTCCATCCACGCCCCTCTCTCGCTTTCCCTTCCCGGCTCGTCCTCCTTGGCTGGGAATGCATGTTCCTCTAAAGCAGCAGCGTGTCCAATTTGGAATGGAGTCGGAGTAGGACGCGCCCGCTTGCTGAGGCGGCGTGGCTCCGTTTGTGTTGGAGGCTCGCTGCTACATCTGCGCTTTACCTGGCCGGGATACCGCCCCGTAGCCGTGGCGCGAGGCCAGCTTGTATCTTCGAGCTGGGTGTCTTTTGGTACGTAGAGTACGTAGATCCAGAAGTGCAACCCCTGCTCGTTCGCGCTGCAGGAACAACAAAACAGCAACAGCAACAGGAACAGCGACAACAGGGCAGGCTGGGGACTCCTATGTACGGGGGCTCCCTATCCAAGGCAGCTGTTCTCTTGAGCTTTTAGGACCGCTCCTCGGTGGGCCACCTATTCGGGGGACGGGAGTGCAGCACCGCGGAGAGCTCCTATAAGGCTCCAAGGGCGCGCTGCGATGGCGCGGAACCCCGAGGGCCGAGGAGCCAGAGCAGTGCCCAGAAGACGACAAAGAGACCGGGGAGGCACCTGAGCGGGCGAGCCAGTGTCGCGTCGCCGTCGTACGTCAGGGCGAGCCTCCGACCCCGCAGGCGCGTCTCCCGCGTGCCCTTGGAGGTGGCGGCTGCCGCGGGGGCGCCCTTCTGCCTTGCCCCGCGGGTTAACCCTAGGCTTCCCGGGGGACGACGGTCTTCGCGGGGGTGGGCAGGGGACTGTGGGAGAGGAGGAGGGAGACAGCCCGTGTGTCTGTTGCGCTGAGTCGGACGGGCAGCCTCCTGCACTTTCGCCCAAAGTCTGCGTGGAGCAGGGAGAGAGGCAGAGAGTTGCGCGGGGCGGGGGGGAGAGCCGATCCCAACTTATCCCCCCCGCCACGCACACACAGACAGTGGCCGTCTCTCACTTTCTCGCACTTCATTTATTTTCTCCGCAGCGCACAGCCTCTCCCCGCGCGCTCACACGCGCGCCCGACCCCAGCGGCGCTCCCTCGCCAGCCTTTCGTTCTCTCCGCGCCTCTCGCACGCTCCTTCTGTCGTGCTCTCCCCCGCGCCCGCCCCGCGCCCGCACCCGCGCGGGAGGGCGCGCGCGCGGCACTCACAAAAGCCCCACTGGAAGCCGAGGGGCGGGAGCAGGCAGCTCGCGGCTGTCCGGGCGACGGGCCATTTCCTCCAGTAAATGGCACCGAGCCTTCGCAGCCCACCTCCCTTTCGTTGCCGGCGCCCCCCTTATCATTGCGATTATCCTCGCCATTATTACTACTGTTATTATTAGGTGCCGCGTGGGCTTTGTTTGCGGAGATTTATTTTATCGATTGGCTCGCGCTCCCTCCCACTCCCCCACCCCAAGGACAAATCCCCTCCCTCACTTGTCTTGGAAGGCAGAGGGAGGGTGTGTACGTGTGTGTGTGGTGTGTGTGCGCACGGCGGGGTGTCGGCTAGGGTGGGACTGAAGCGCCGAGATTAAGGCGCTCCCTCTCAGGAGCCGAAGCGTGCGCTTTCCAGATGCTGCTTTCCGAGGCACTCGGCGGCAGCCCTGAGGAGGAGAACGCGGCAGCAACCGGGGCAACCGCCGCCGCCGCCGCCGCGGCCACGGAGAAGCGGGCATGAGCAGGGCGTGGAGGCAGCGCTAGAGAAGCCGCCGGCGTGGGTGCTGCTTGTTGCTGGCTCGGCCCCGAGCCAGGGGGCCCCATGCGGTGACCGGCCGACTTCCAGCCCGCGTCGCCTGCCCGTGCCATGAGTTCCCGCCTCGGCTGAAGCGAGCCCAGCCCCGTCTCCGCTGCGCTTGGGCAGGGCGCGCGGGGAGCGCGGGACGCACCGGCCATGGCTGCGGCTATCGCCAGCGGCTTGATCCGGCAGAAGCGCCAGGCGCGCGACTTGCAGCACTGGGACCGGCCTTCGGCCAGCAGGAGGCGCAACAGCCCCAGCAAGAACCGCGGGCTTTGCAACGGGAACCTGGTGGATATCTTCTCCAAGGTCCGCATCTTTGGCCTCAAGAAGAGGAGGTTGCGGCGCCAAGGTGTGTGTGCCTGTGCGCCGCGTGCGTGTGTGTCTCCGTCCGTCCGCCCGCCCCCCGTCTGTATGTCCGTCCGCCTGTGGGTGCGCGCCTGCCAGTGCCTTGGGGAGAAGGAGCGGTCTGTGGCCCCCAAAGTTGGCGGGCCACGGCTCGCTGGTCAGGGGCAAAAAAGGAAGGGCAAGTACGCAAAGACATCCACTGCTGCGTGGCGCTTTCTGTTACGCTTGCAGTGGGGGAAATCTGCGCCCCCCTTCGCCGTCTCTGTCTGGTAGGTCACGGTTAAGTCAATTTTACAGAAGGGAAGCTTGAGTCAGCCTCTGAGTGAATTAATCTGTGGAAAGAGCCTCCCCTCGCTTCTCCGGGGCATGAATAGAATGAGGACCCAAGGTTTAATACACAAGCGTACTTTGAGCAGGCAGAGAAAGCCCATCTTTTAGCCGCCTCGATTGGTGTGCAGAACAGGATGGTTAAAGGGTGTTAAGTGCCCGCTAACTGATCTAGAATGGGCAGGCGAAATCTCAGTTCGGTGAGGGAAGCACTTCTCCACATTGCCAGGAGGAGAGCTTATGCCGAAGCAGCCCACCGCGGTGATTGCAATTGCAGGCGTTTAAACAACTTGATCCACAGTGTAGGTCATGCAGTTAAGCTGATGGAGCCCGGAGTTAGCCCCAGCTAATTCAAAGCAGAGCTCTCAAAGGGTGCTAAAATATTGGGGTCCACTGTACCCTTCCAATTCATGTCTTGGACTGAAGCAGTGGCCTTATTCTGGCTCTGTGATTGCCAGTATGGAACTAGCAAGAAATTTATTGTTTTGAATTAATTAGTGGAGGATAAATGATTTTTAAACAGCATATTAAGCATCACTGGGGCCACTTTATTTGAATTCAGAACAAAGTGTTCCAATACAGTGTTGGTCCGTCAGTCTGGTGGCTTGTGAACTGAACTGTAAGTGTTGCTTTTCATCACCTGTTAACTAGTTTTGCTAACTTGTCAACCATCCCAGCTTCTGGAAAAGCAGATAAGAAAACCTAAGGTACCCATACAGATGTAGGTCCCTTTTGTACCCACTCCTCAGACACACTCTAATTGGATTAGAGTGGTTCTAGAAGAAACATGTGATGCAGCAGTAAATATACAAAACCTTTATCATCCTCTAGCTCTTGCAGGATTTCCTTGTCCTTTACATTTATATAATTTTTACTAGTACAAAGAAACATAAGTTTGAACCATCTCCTACATATTATTTATATATGCAATGATCATTTATTGTTCAAATCAAAAGCATGATGTTAGCCAAAAGAAATTTATCACTTGTGAAAGATTATGAAAAACACCAAGCAAAGAAAATGAGTCTTCACAGTACCAGTAAGATAAATTTAGTGAAGCTACATTTGCAAGAAATCAAACCCAGAGAATCCTTGCAGGACAAACAAACTGAGAGACATTTGCAAAATGCCAAGGTTTAAAGGGGGCATTTTGAAGAAAGGATTCTTGTAAATAAACAGGATACATTTTTATAAAAAAATACTTTTGAGTGAGTCAATAACTGAGCTGTGCAGTATGTCCTGGTTTTTACAACACAGATGATCATTTCTTAGTTAGAAAATGGAGTATATCAGACGGGCATTGTGAAGCACTGTAACTTTAAGAATTTGCTGCTAGTGAAGTGGAGAAATCACAGAGTATAAATGTGGGGGAATTCCAATTCCCACAACACTCTGTTTTTTTCAGCACCGTAGCTGTCTTGCTCCAGTCATGTTGGCTTTTGACAATTCTCTTCCCAGGAACACTTTACCACCCTTTAGAATCCCTTCAACACTTCCTGTAACACTCTTTCTTCAGTCTCAACACTATCTTTACTCCCCCACTTTCTGCAGAAAATCCAACTTCACATGTTCCCTACCTCTCCTTCACTTTGTCTCATCAAACAGCTTCTAACCTTGGTGGCCATCAGGTGTGTGACTCTCCCCAAGGAAAGGCAGTTGAAGTGGTAGTAACTGGAGGAATCTTTACTGTATCTGAACAAGCTAACATACCCGATGTACCATACCATGTACTTGTACATTTTGCTGTTCCGCTTCTTTCTTCTCTCTCTCTCTCTGTTTGCATAGTGCCATAATTTGGCTAGGGGCAGGGGGAACGCTGGTTCAGATATGCTTCAGATCAAAACACAGACACAGCAGAAACTCGGGGCCATAGGAAAGCTGTTCCATCACTTGGCCCTGAGAATGTGCTGCTTTGATAATAGCCTAACTTTTTGTGTAACAAAGTTGTCATCATTCTCACCTTAACTGAAATCAGGATCTCTTCCAAAACAGGAAACAAACAAACACCCTTTCCCCTTTATATTTTATTTATTTGTACCCCCCCCCACTTGCCTTTGTGTGTAATGGTTGTACGTCTATAAAACCTGGTCTTTCAGTTTAAAAAAGTATATCAGAGCAATGCTGAAATGCTTTTCTTGGTTGAGAAAGCAACATACTGCTCTTTAGAATGTAACTTATATTCAATAAGAAGTTTCACTAATAGAAATATAAACTAAAACTATGCCAGTAAGTTATTGATCAAGTGTTAAATATGTAGTTTTCAACTTTGCTGAATTGGTATTAAAACATGAATAAGCAGTAGCATACTAAATACTTGCCTGATAACAGTGACTAGGAACTATGCATTATTAGTAATGATGGCACTGATTGCCACGGTCTGTTAAATTGTTTGTTTAAGTCCAGGCAGGAGAACAAGGTTTATAGTTGCTAAATGCTGTGCCTGCTCAAAAGCAGTCTCAGCAAAGCAACTGCTGAGTGGCTCCATTCCTAATTCTATTTGCTTAGTTTTACACACCGTGAAGCCTTAGCAATTCCATATAATTTTTATTTGGAATATTATCATAAAGAGAAAATTTATCATTTATTTTAAAAGATTTTTTTAAATTTTATACTCTCAAACACATTACATTAATTATATGTCATTTTCTTTTAAAAGGCCTTTAGGGCTGGTATCCCAGTGAAAACAATAAAATTATACTGCCATATGTCTGTTGGTAGATTATACTGTTCTGAACACATTCAGAGAACATCCAAATAACAATAATAGCAATATTGGATTTTCAGTGTTTAGCCAATATACTTGCAAATAGTAGATAAAGTATATATGGTATCCACACATATTTGTTTGAATTATGATCCAATAGAAACAAATTGTGTACAATTATACATACATTATTTTTACTAGCATTATTATATGAGCAATAATAGAGTTAAATAAGCATCAGGTAAAAACTCTGTTAAGAAGAAGGAAATCCAACAAGTGGAAGCAATGATTCATATTAATTTGCCATTATGAAATGCTTCTTCAGTCAGATGTTATAATTTCAGTATATGGAAAAGGGGCATGCATCCTGTCCATATTAATAGGATACTAGAATTTATTATTTTTACATTAATTCAGCAGAGTTTTCTTTTTTACCTCATGTTTCAAATATAAAATATTTATAGATCATGCTTACCTAACACAGTTGTAAAGTTTTATACCTGTATTATTATTATTTCCTTAATTCTTTTGTTTTAAAGTCTTTGAGGAATATACCTAGCAGCAGTGGTAATTAGTGAAGATCCCTTATTTTTTACTGATACAGACCATTTTGGGTTGATGGCGTGAAATTTGCCTGTCTTTTTTTTAAAACTGATTTGCAAAACATGCATTTTAAAAATGGTGTAGGGTTGGGTTGTATGAAATGTAAAACTACTGTAGACTTGTTTCTGAACATGCATGGTATTCATGGTATTCATTCAAATACATATTTGTAGGTATAATTTTCAGATAGTTCAACAGAACGTATCTAGATTCAGTGATTATAAATACTTGTTGCTTGCGTGAAAAATGTTCTGGAAGAATTGATTTACCTTCCATTTCTAGAATCAGGAGTTATTTCAAGAAAAATTCTGAATGAAGAGGGAAAATCAAAGTCACTTGAATTATAAAACTTTAATATCAGTTAATATATTAATGGATCATAATTGCAAATATTGAATTAGATCCAGGCTTAATCAGATCGGGAGATGGAACTATTCAAGTCAAACTGGACATCCATTAGAAAAAAGATCAACTAAAATTATGTTTTGAGATGTATTTTGAGAAAGAATTACTTGATTTTTTCATGTTTTTCCTGGGTCTTTTATGAAGTTCAGGCATGCGCATGAAACTGTAATCATTATTGGTAGATGAAATATCACTGTTCAAGATCTGGCTCACACATATGCATATTTAATTGAGTTCAGGCTTCAATCATAACCACACTTAATTTGAATTCAGACCTATTGATAACAATTGGACTTATGATGATGCCTGGTGATCATCATTGTTCTCAAACAAGTTTCTACTTTTCCTTCCTATGCATTTGTTTACAATTTCTGTGAGGATGTTATACGCTACTCTCTTGAAACTTGCATTGTAATTCGGTGAAGATGGCAAATCTAAATCTATAGTGCAATCCTATACATGTCTATTCAGAAGTGATTCCCATTGACCCCAGTGCAGCCTTGTCTTACCCATTGTCTTCAATGCTGCTTATTCCCAGGAGTTTGCATGCAGGATTGCAATCTTAATCACTCTAATCTTTTATTTCCTAGGGTACCAAATAAGTAGTTAAGTAGAAGTGTGAATTCAGTTGAACTCAGGAGTTTCATTTGTTTTGTGTGTTTTCCCCCCACACGGAGCCATTAATTATTGTTTTATTCTTTGAAAAATGTTGATGAGACCCTTGAAAAGATAACCTGATGTAAAAGAAAAGATAAGATGCCTGTGGCTGGATGTTTGCAATGTAACTTCTTTGGGTGGGGTGGGGAAGGTGTGTGTGTTAAATCTGGCATTCATGATCCCAGCCCTGCCATGAGCTAGTAAAAAAGTGACCAAGGAAATCCTCGTGTTCCCTCATTGCTGTGTAGTCCCAGTAAAAAACCTTGATGTGAATCCAGAGGTCCCTACACGTACCTGTAGGTTTGCCACCAATTGCTGTGTTTGAAAAA